TGTGGGGTGTGGGATGTGGGATGGGGGATGTGGGGTGTGGGATGGGGGATGTGGGATGGGGATGGTGGGAATGTGGGGATGGTGGGAATGTGGGGTGTGGGAATGGTGGGGATGGGAGTGCGGGAATGGCGGGAATGGGAATGTGGGAATAGAGGGAATAGGAATGGCAGGAATGGTGGGAATGGGAATAGCAGGAATAGAGGGAATGGGAATAGCAGGAATAGCAGGAATGGGATTGCAGGAATAGCAGGAAGGGGAGTAACGTGAATGGTGGGAATGGGAATGTGGGAATAGCGGGAATTGGAATGCGGGAATAGCGAGAACGGGAATGTGAGAAGAGCGGGAACGGGATACGGTGTTCATTGGGGATGGGGGAATGGGGGAGTGAAAGGGGGAGTTGGGGTTTGTGCAGTTCAGACCTATGGAAAATCAGGAATTCCCAAGTTTTCCTGATTTTTTGCTTTAAAAAAATGAAACCAGTTGGGTGTTGCCATTGTGGATTCCAAAGGGAAACAGAGGGAGAACGTGGGAATTCACTGCGTTGTTCTTCAGGGAATGGGGGGATGAGGGAGGGAAAGGGGAGAGTTGGGGTTTGGAAGGGGAAGAGCTATGGGAAATGAGGAATTCCCAAGTTTTTATGGCTAAATTGTTTAAAAAAACACCAAAAATTGGGTGTTCCCACTGTGAATTCCAGAAGGAAATCCGTGGGCAAACACAGACATAAAATGGGAATTCACCGGGTTCTCCAGGGAATGCAAGAAAAAAAGGAGGGAAAAGGTTTGTGGGATTCAGGGAGGAATCCCACAGGTCTATGGGAAGTCCAGAATTCCCAAGTTTTCTTGATGCCCTTAATTTAAAAAATGGGAAAAAATGGGTGTTCCCGTTGTGGATTCCAAAGGGAAATCCATAGGGAAACAGAAGGATGAAACGGGAATCCATCAAGCTTTCCATGGGAATGGGAGAAGAGAGGGAGGGAAAGGGGGAGTTGAGGTCTGGGGCTTCCGGGAAGGGGAAATCGATGGGAAATGGGGAATTCCCAAGTTTTCCTGGTTTTTGTAAAATTAAAAAAGGAAGAAACAAATGACAATGGATCCGTGTCTGTCCCTGAGGAATTGCCACGCTCCGGGCACAGATCCGGACACGGATTTGGGAATGGATCCCAAAATGGATCCCAAAATGGATCCCAGCTTGGATTCAGGATTGGAACCCAACATGGATCCCGACATGGATTTGGGGATGGATCCTGACACGGATCCCGACATGGATTTGGGAATGGATCCGGGCATGGATCCTGACATGGATTCAGGAATGGATCCCAACATGGATCCTGACGTGGATTTGGGAATGGATCCGGGCATGGATCCCAAAATGGATTCAGGATTGGAACCCAACATGGATCCCGACGTGGATTTGGGAATGGATCCGGGCATGGATCCCGACATGGATTCGGGAATGGATCCTGACACGGATCCCAACATAGATTCAGGAATGGATCCTGACATGGATCCCGACATGGATTTGGGAATGGATCCTGACACGGATCCCGACATGGATTCAGGAATGGATCCGAGCATGAATTCTGACATAGATTCAGGAATGGATCCCAACATAGATCCCGGAATGGATCCCAACATGGATCCCGACGTGAATTTGGGAATGGATCCTGACACGGATCCGGACATGGATTTGGGAATGGATCCGGGCATGGATCCTGACATGGATTTGGGAATGGATCCTGACATGGATCTGGGAATGGATCCCAACATGGATTTGGGAATGGATCCAGGCATGGATCCCGACATGGATTTGGGAATGGATCTGAGCACGGATCTGGACATGGATCCTGACACGGATCCGAGCATGGATCTGGACACAGATTCAGGAATGGACCTGGGCATGAATCCCAACATGGATCCACGGATCCTGGCATGGATCCTGATGTGGATTTGGGAATGGATCTGGGCACAGATCCAGACAGGCATTCGGGAATGGATCCCGACATGGATCCCGACACGGATCCTCCTAAAACCGGGACAAAGTTCCAGCCCCAGTCCAGGCCCAGGGAACATTCCCGGCATTCCTCCAAGGATTCTCTTTGGATTTCTCCCAGGATCCTGGCTTTTCTTCCCAATTACTCCTTCCAAGCCATTCCAGCAGCATTCCCATGCCCACGGGGTGGAAAATCCCATGGGCTTCTCCTGGATTTCCGTGGGTTGGCAGGAGAAGGGATCAGAGCCACAGGATTGGGAATATCCATGGGAATTCCCACCTGGAAATCCCAAATCCCACCCTGGGCTAGGCTGGATGTCACCATTCCCACCACTCCCGACCACAATCCTGGGAAGGAGTTGGGATTTTCAGATATCCAGGGAAAAGCAATCCTGGAGGAGAGGAGGAATCCACAGGAATTTTTTTTCCACTCTCCAAAGTCAAACTGGGACCGGTTTGCGGAGCCAGCTGGGAAAAAAAAAAAAAAAAAAAAAAAAGCAGGAATTTTGGGGCTTAGATCATTTCCTGAGGGAAATCCCAGCCCTGACATTCCCGGAGTTCAACTCCATGCTGGGAGAAGCCGTTTCCAGCAAAAAAAAAATGGGATAAGGGTGGGAGGGAGGATCCAGGAAGCACCTGGACTTCCTGGAGCCAGAAAAACAAAGGATTTGGGATTTTCCATTGAATGGGGGGCTGATCCATCGAGAAGGGCGTTGGATGTTGTGTCATCCCACAAAACCCAATCCCAAAATCCCGTCCGGTGATTCATGGTTCAAAACTCCATCCGAAAATCCCAGCTCCGTCCAGAATTCCCAACTTTCTGCAGCACTGACAGCACCCCAATATTCCCAAAGTCTCCAGAACCTTGGAATGTTTCCAGGGAATCCGCTCCCCCCATCCCACCCAGGGCTTCCCATGGGATTTGCTCCATCAGTTTTCTGGGATAAAGGTTCCCCACAAGGAGAACCGTCAGGAATTCCAAGAAAACACCGTAATTCCCTGGAAAAGCCTTCCCAGTCCATCCCTGGCAGCTCTTGATCCAATGGATTGAGGCTGGAATTTTCCCTTGGGAAGAAGCACCAGCATGGCCCTTGCCTCACTTTTCCAGGATTTTTCCGGGATTTTTCCCAATCCCACAGGAATTCCAGGATCTACTGGATCCTGCTTCCCAAAATTCCTTCCCGAATTTTGAGCACCTTAACTTTGGAATGTTCTCCCTCCTTTCCTCAGCGCTTTCCCAAACAAATCCCCAAGTCAGCCTCAGGAATTTTTCCCATTCCAAGCTCCTTCCCTTCCCACTGGAGTTGCTCCAGCCCTTCCAGAAATTCTTGGAATTCAGCTCCAGTGGGAGCCTCTGGAAGTGGCTGCTCCGGAACTTTTAATTCAATCCAAATAAACCCTGGAATTTCTCGGAATTCCCATCCTTTATATCCGATCCTATTCAAGATTCCAAACCCATTTGGCCACCACATCCCCAGGAAAACCCAATGGTTAAACTTCCCCAGGAATTCTTTCCTGGATTTCCCAGATTTCCATGGAAAATCCCAGATTCCCTCTTGCTCTTTAGGAGTTGAAGGCGGCTCCTTCCCAGAAAATTCCTTTTCCCTATGGAATCACCACCTGGAATGCCATCATTCCTCCCTCCTCATCCTCTCCATCCCTCCAATCCAGGTGGGAATTCCCGGCAGGAATTCCCACAGGAATTCCTTGGAAACTCCAGCACTCACCGGCTGCTCCATCCCGGAGCGAAAATTCCCAACTTTTCCCACTGGTGACTCCGTCTTTTCCTTGTCCTCCCTCTGTGTTCCCTCGGAGCATCCGAGGGGACAGAATCCCATGGGTGGGGCATCCCTGTTTTCCATGGATGGGGCATCCCTGTTTTCCATGGATCCCCTAGAAGCGGCCGCTCCGGAGCTTTGAATCCCAAGCCAAAGAAATCCCGGGAATGTTGATAAATTTATCCAACCACTCCCCTCCGGATCAATCCTGCTGGGATTGGCCTGACACTTCCAGGGGCCGTTCCCAGGAAATTCCAGTCTCCAGCTCCACACTCAGATTCCCAGGAAAAATCCGGAATTCCCAGCTGGGAAATAAAGGGGAACGAAGGGGGAATTTTCCCTCTTATCCGTGTTTTATCCGGTTAAAATCGGGATTTT